AGAAGCAGCTCATGAACTTGAACCACCGACCTTGCAGTTCAAACCACATTGCAGTCTGACACATTAGCCCACAGCGCCACATCAGGACTCCACTCGCCAATATACCAGAGAAGAAACTCAAATTCCATATAGAAAATGAAGGGTTTTTTTTTTTTTTTTTTGGGGGGGGTTCCAAATAAAAATAGTTTTTCTACTCACATAAGACTTAGGAATTTCTAAGGAAGAAATAAGAACTCAATGTAGGATCCTTGTTTTTTGACCCTGATGGGGTGGGCCCACTTTTCCATAGAAAAATAAGCATATCTCTAAGACAGGTTGTTTTTTCATGGCTTAGGTCAAAGGCAGTTCCCTACTTAAACACACCATAATATTTTTGTTGTTGTTAAGATTACAGGACTATAAGGAGGTGCGGAGTTCTGCCACGTTCTTATTACAAATTCTCAATCATTCTTACCAGCACCTGAGTCTGGTGTGGCACTGTGAGTTAATGCACTGGACTGCAAAGTCGTTTGAACTGCAACGTTTACCAGCCGCTCCTGGGAAACCCTATACAGGATCGCTATGGGTTGGAACCGACTCGACGGCATTTAACGACAATAACATCACCAGCACCATCTTCACATTAAAATGGTTTTGTTTTCTATCAGCTATGTCTTTTAATTCATTCTTCTTCTCTTATTTTGAGATCTCTTTTCTTATAGTTCTGTCCACAATATTGAAGGAAACCAAGAAAGAGAGGAAAGCATAAATACGCAATATTTTTCAAGTTTGCAGAATTCTTAAAGTTGGCATAATTTAATACTTCTCTACTCAATAATTAGACAGCCCAGAGATGTTATGAACTGACAAAATTGTGAAGTGCACAGAGGCACGCTGGAACCCCCTGGGTTCTTGACTTCTGTGCTATTACACATCCCATGACACTACACTGTTGGTTTTTTATATGCTTTTTTTTTTTATCTAAACCTCAGTCTCTCTACAGCTAATCCCTGACTCTGGAGCACATAATATATGGAGACAGTGAGGCAAGGGCAGACCTTGAAGTCAGCTAAATAAAATTTTGTACATTGTTGCTGGGGGAATTCAGAAGGGTTGGAAATGCAGAGATTGAGGAGAGAGAGAATGCAATGGCTTGTTAGTAATGGAAGGTCCGAATTGAGAGGAGTGGGAAAAGCATCCCAAGTGGAGAAAACTCTTTAAAGCTTCAATTCAAGAAAAGGATGAGTTATGCTGCAGTGGGGTACAAAAACAACAGCAACAAAAACATGGGTTTCTAGAGTAACTTCCATATAATGGAACATATGCCTAACTTTTCTCTTCTAACTAAGGAAGATATGACATCAAACTATATGTGAGAAGCATTATGAAAGACGTAAGACACTTCTAGCTGGAAAGGTGTAAGAAAGACATGAATTTTTCTTGTTACAATGAGAAGAAATGGGCTGAAATTGCATTAGGATATTAGGATAAGACAACATGAACAAACAGCTGTAGACATATAACTGAAAGAGTCTGAAGAGTCAGAAAATCTTGACACAAGGTCTAGAGGAGACACCTTTCAGTCTGGGATGAGTTAAGTTCAGTCCTGCCTTGAGGCAGAGGGAGGGATGAAATATCCTGTCACAGAGTCTAGAAGTCTGGATCGGGGCCTATTCATGGAAACAAAGCATCTCATTATGGAGAGAGGTGGAGAACAGCAGGAAAAATTCCCAACCTGCTTGCCTGGAGGTTGAGACCAACGTACAAGTTTTCTGACTTGATCAATTTTAGACTCTGATTATAATAGAAAAGATTTACGCTAAGTCAAACTAAAAGAACTTCTCATGATACTGTCACAGAGCTTGGATCTCACTTAGAGGAGAGTTTAGCACTAGGAACACCTCTCAAGAACTGTTTAAACACTATCAGGAATGTAAACAGAGAGGGGTAAAATTATTGCTTGATTTGGGAATTTAGGATTTGGCTTTGAGACCTTTGAGCCTGTCAGGGAAGGTTGTTTAAGTAAGGGTCCTCCCAGCCTAGTGGCTATGCAAGAACCCGCTTCTGGGAACCCACAGTGAAGTCAGGGTGTGTCTGAGCGTGTGCTGAATTCCTGGCTTCAATTACAGACTACCAGGCGGCTGAAGAGTCTGTCATTGCCGATGTCATCATATTTACAAGATTCATAGGTCCCTTCTGCAGTAAGAACCAAGAATGAGAACATTTCTGCACCTGCAGCCATCACTCATAAGTCTATACTGTATGAAGAAGCAGATCATTGAGGGCAATAAAGGTGAGGGTATCTCTTGTGTGTCCATTCACTCCCACCATGGGAATGAGGAAAGGTTTACTTGGAGAATTTACAGAGAGTTTACACTGCCTTCATCATTGCCTCCATGTTTCAGATTTGGCTAGATTTAATAGTGCAATGATCTCACTTAAAGAAAATCTTGAAGCAGAATAAGCTTTTATTTATTTCACATAGAAGCAGAAGTATGGTAAAGTGATATCTCAAATATCCTTTCAGGTGAAATAGTCTGACGATCTTTGAATTGTCTCCTGTCATTAAAACCCTTCTCTTGCCAACATCATGGGGGATTCAAAAGTATGGGCACTCAGCCTATTTTCTCCAAGTAATTGTTTCTAGGCTCTGCCCCTGGAAATGCCATTAGAAAACTGACTGGCAAGGGGAACCAGCTTCTCTCCACATAATGAAACTCCCAAACAGCCAGCCCCACATTCCTCTCTGACTCACCACTACCAACCCCCCACTGTGCCCTGCAGGTCAGTGGGGCGGTAACCCTGCCACATCTGGAACAAATGCAGCTGGACTAAGATGTATGCCCTGATAGCCAGTACTCACCTCCCCCAAACCCAGCCCTGGATCATTCCCTGGCCTGTGCCCCAGGTATTATGATAAGATGCAGCCAGTGTTGGGAAGAAGACAGTCAACAAGGGATCTACCCTACAGCTGCCAGCCTCACCTGGGGAGATCTGATCATAGACTTTGTGGCTCATTGCTATAGCATGGTATCCTCCCAGCCTCTGAGAAGTAAGCACTTCTCATTATCCAAGTCATTGGAGGAGAACAGACACACATAGCTTTTCATTTGCTGAGTCCTTAGCATGTACCAAGTCCTATGCTAAGTGCTGTATATATGTTATTTTTGTTGCTAAGTGCCATTGAGTCAGCTCCAACTCATAGCGACCCTGTATAGGGTTTCTGAGAGCAACTGGTGAGTTTGAACTACTGAATTTGCAATTCAACCTGACCTTGCAGTTCAGTGATTATCCTACATAAACTTTGCAATATAGCTTGCTGTTTAATGGGAAGAGGACAACACTAAACCAATTCATGAATTATATAAACTCAAAATATAATTAGCGTTACACAGAAAAAAAAGGGGGGGGCAGTTCATCTTTGGATACATTCACAAAATTACCTTTGAATACATACACAGAGGCTCTTATAACCAGAGATACAAACATGCTATCTGCATCTATCCCTGATGTTCTTTCTGTATAGCATTTTTGCAAAATTCAAGACCCAATCCAAGCAATGGAAGGATGGAGTCTGCAAAATTCACAAAGTAGGTAATCCACAAAAGAGGTATAAAAATGTTGACCTTATGTCAGTATAGAAAATCACACTTGGCTAGTCATTTGGATATAAAAACCATCTTAAAATTGGTGACAAAAATTTTATTTGCAGATCTAAGTTGAACAAACTTCTTCTTCACTTCCTCAAAACTTTCCGTTTCTGAAGTGGAAAGGCAAAAAACAAAACAAAACTTCTGTTGTTGTTTAAGAATCAGAGGGACATGTAGCCATAAGGAAGAGATACTTGTGAAAAGATGTGTTCAAGTCACCCTAGCTCCCTCTCTTTATGTCCTATGACTCTTAGACCTGAAGATGGCTCTTTAGGGGGATATTTTCATCAATTCCACTGCCTCCAAAATAATTCAGACAGATGATATTAGCCCCATCCTTCTAGTTCGGCAGATACAGGGACTTCACAATTTCCTTCAATTCGCTGGATAACACACCCTGTTGGAAAGTTCTTCTTTGGTAATCTGATTCCTTCTTTCTATGTAACATTTAAATTAGTTTATTTATATTTTGTTTTTTGTGTTTTGTTTTTTTGGAGTTATGCCTTTGGTTCTATTTTCATCGTTTATTGGGGATACAGAGGAACATTACAGTTTAAAATAATTAAATCAACAAACTTGGTGATACAGTACTGATGATAAACATGACCTGAATCTAGGAGTTCGCAGTTTTACAGTTTAAGGGGCATTATGTGCAAGGTCTCCAAAGGAGAAAAGAACCATATTACTCAGTAAGCCTTCCAAGAAGTTTGACTCCTTCTCACTCATAGCTAGAAATGCCAGTCCTGATAACCATCGATAGGCTTCATCTCGGCAAAACAGAATCTCCAACTTTTTATGCTTACTGTAGATAGAAGAGACAACAACTCCAGACTGACTTCTAGTTGTTAGGATGACTACAAAAAGTGTCGTCCATTCACAAGTTGGTAAAATCTTCAGAGGGACTGCTGAATCAAGGAGGCTTTCATGTGCTTCCAGTTATTACAGTGCATGTTGTTGTTGTTAAGTGCCATCGAGTCGATTCTGACGCATAAAGACCATTGGTTGGTTGGTTATGTGCCTTGGAGTTGCTTCCGACTCATAGTGAGGACCCTGTACAGTGTTTCCGAGGCTGTAAATCTTTACGGGAGCAGAAAGCCTCATCTTTCTCCCGCGGAACAGCTGGTAGTTTCGAACTGCTGACCTTAAGATTCGCAGCCCAATTCGTAACCACTACGCTACCAGAGCTCCTTATAGCGACCATTGTTGTTGTTAAGTGCAGTAGAGTCGGTTCCGACCCATAGCAACCCTGTATAGGGTTTCCAAGGAGCAGCTGGTGAACTTGAACTACCGACCTTGCAGTTAAAACGGCTTTGCAGTCTGGCGCATTAACCCACAGTGCCACACCAGGAAATGTTAGTCCTGCTAGACCACCTCGTAGAACCCCCGCGTGCCCCTCCCCCCCCAAGACTACCTGTGCATTTATACAACATGCTTGTCATGGTTCCGGCTGCTACTGTATTAAGGTCATCTTTTGCACCTCGCGTTTTCTCAATGACCACACCAAAAGCACTATAGAGCAAGGCCAGAGAACCTAGAGTATTAGCCCAAAGTGCCTCTTGTCTAGTCACCATATTAAAAATCTGTACATTTCTTGGTTTGGACCAGGTCATGTTCTGGGTTTCCTTCAATTCCAGTTGTAGGTTATTCATAGCCCCAAATGCAGCCCCTGTCATGCAACATCCTCCTATGGCAAAGAAGGCTAGTTCAAATCTGCCCCGGGTTTTATTAGCTCCAGTTGGTAAAATAAATTCATCTGTATCCTGCACAAGATACTGAGGATCCACATTAAATAAGGACACAGAGGGTTCATACCAGTTACGGGTACGCCAGCCAAATCCACGGGCGAGTAACC